TGCTGTATATCCCACCCCAAAGCCTGTGTGCTCTCCACATGGTGCAGTGGGATTTCATCAGTGTGTGCAGCCCCATGACTCCTGCTAGGACTGCCTGCTCTGCAAAGGTGCAGTCTCGCTCTGCCCTTTGACTCTGCACTGTGCACCTCGTCACCTGTTGCTCCAGCACTCACAGGTTGCGCTGAGCTGTGGAGCCTGTGCAGGGAATTGGGAGTGCAGCATCTCTCCAGAGTTAAATCCGGAATGGCTCCCGTGCCTGCCCCAAAGCTGTCAGTCTGCCCACACTGTGCAGACCTGGTCCACAGCAGTGCCCTCTCTATGAGAGTGGGATGCCCACGGTGTGACAGCCCTGGGCTGGTAATTGCCGGCAGTGCTTTATTTCCATAGGTGAATGCTCTGGGCTGATCCCTTCTGGGCTGGCTCCTGGCGGTGTCTCTTCTGTTGATTAATTACCAGGAGATGATAAATGATAATATCAGCTTGAGACATGTCTGCCCTGTGCTCCCAGCAGAGGCAGCAGTGCATGGTGAATAGTTTTCTCCCATCTCTTCTGCTTTGATTCCCTCTGCAGAGCTGCGTCTCACGTGATTGTCTTGCACTCAGGAGCTTTGCTGGTGTTCAGCTCCACTCACTGCAGATGGGTATTGCAGGTTGGGCAGTGGTGAGGAGTGCTGCGAGCATCCTTCCTCCCTGACAGCTGCATCCCATGACCAGCATGGCCCAAACTCCAGCACACTGCGTGTTTCAGCCTTTCATGCTGAGCTTTGGGCTCTCCAGAGATGGGGGTGTGCGTGTAGGAGCTCTTGAGCCACATTGGCTGTGTCTGTGCATTTTGAATTTTACAAATGGTGCAAAGCCCTTAAGGTAACTGCATGGCTAGCTGTTCATCCAGCTGCCCCCTGCAAAACCTGAGTCTTATCCATAGTTAAGAGCTGGTTTGGAAAAGTTTGAATCTGGCTAGGATTTTATGCCATGAAATATTCTGCAATTTCATTAAGTTTTCTGTCCTTTATGGGGAGAGAAGACTCTTCAAACTCTTTGAAAAAAATGGGGAGATCCCCAGGACTGGAGTGCAGAGATTTTCCAAGGCTCTGGGAGACATTTCTGATATGAGTGTAATGTAAGTACCAGCACAAGCTGGTACATACTTGCAAGAGAAGTTCCAGTTCTGAAGTATCTCATTTTTGAACAGGGAAAGTGATTTGTCTGTGCAATTCTTGATGTACAGCCCTATTGGCATCTGCAGTGTCTTTAAGTGATGTATCTCCTGAAGGCTTCACTGCTTCTGCTGTGTGATCTGCTCCCAACAAACTCCAGAGAGCGAGTGATTTATCAGCCACTGCTTTTTAGGGTGAGGAAAGGGCTAATGCTTTATGGATCTATCAGCATTCCTGTATGGCACACGGAATACAATATCCTGCCAAAGAGAGGAGGGATGTCTGCTACCTGGCAATCCATCATTTCTCCCAGTGCCCCATGGCAAATGCACTTTTCTTTTTTCCATCAGGCTATGTGCGAGTACTGTTATATAGTGAAGAGCTTCTCCCTTCTCCTCCTCCACAAATGGTTATGAAAGCCTGAAAATGCAACTTCGGCAGGGTGCAGAATGAGGTGGGAAGGGTCATTTTGACAGGGCAAAGCCATCACTGCCTGCTTCCAGCAGGCTCCTGATTCCAGCAGGACACGTGAGATCTCAAGTGATGCAGCTGGGCCATAGACGGCACAACAAGATCACATCAGGGATGAGAAGTCCAGGCAGACTGTCAGGTATGTGCCAAAAACATGCAGATGTGTCAACAGATGCTTCAAGTTTTTTTCTTTTCTGCCCTGCCCCATGGTGATTTTATCTGTTATAGGCATGGCTCAGCTGACCTTGTCCCCATGGAGCTCATCCATCCCATCCACAGAGTAAGGGAAATGTGTTTATAACCTGGTGAGCATCTACTGGGGAGTATGAATCCCTCTCCTACATCTCTCCTTGGTGTTTTAATTGATTCAGGGTTTTCCCAGTGGAGAACTTCATAAGAGCATTTGATAAAATCAGCTACACACGATCCTGCCTCTCATTACTTACAGGCTTGAGGCAGGTAGATGATTAAGTGAATTTTTTACGGTGTGAGCAGTTGTAACAAGGGAAATTATCATCCTGGATATGATACAATGGCTTGGCTCTTACTACATCTGCTGGCAGACAACTAACACAGTGACTTTGCCTCTGATCTTGGAGCAAGTCATCTGCTTTCTCCTCCAGGACAAATCTACATTTGCTACCCTCACACGTTAAAAGGACAAGTCATATGGATGTGCAGGGCCCAGGAAAATAGCTTCAGACTTCCTTGGTGCTGTTGCAGTCCTGATGGAAGTCAGAGTCTGCAATTGTCACCTTGGGAATGCTTCTTCAGGCATTGGGGTGAAGAGTGTCCTTTGGGCTTGGGGCTGGAGGTGCTACAGGACATGCCAGTAGTGTTGGTCCGTGGATTAGATGGGATTCACCTGTTATCTCCAGCTAGCTGCATCCTTGAGTTTATTATCCCAAGGAAAGTCAGTAATGCTGGAGTGAACACTAGGGGGGAAATGAGTGAAAATCACTCACTCCATCAGGGAAAGTCTCCAGTTAAAATGTGAATTTTTTTTTTTTCCCCTGACAGCCAGTGGACTTTGGGTACAAGCCAAAATAGTGACTGAAATAAAGGGCTGCCACTTTGTTTTGTTGTATATTTCCACTTTAACTTGCTTTTGACACACCTTGTTGGTAAATAAACTTTATTTTTGCAGGGAGCCATTGTCATGATAATGTCAGATCCCACTGTGAAGCCAGATCCAGTAAAGAGCAGTAATGTTGTTTTCTAATTTGTTTGAAATCTTAAAACACTTCCTCATCTGAGCAGAGGTACCTAAATGGCACCTATTTGGCACTGCATGTAATTCTTTGCTCTAATGGCGTGCTTGACAATATCTGTGTACTTACGTGCAGCAGCAAAAGCCTCCTGTACTTAAACGAAATACACACAGCAGGTTTGAAGATAAACACAGGAGATGCCTGAATGCTTTTTAGAGAACTGTAATTCAGGCCATAAACATAATATAGATTGCGATAGTGTACATAAAGGAGCGTTTCAAATACCTGCCTTTGTGTTTTGCAATTCAGTCCAATTGATTCCTGACCTAACACAAGGCTGTGCCCGAAACCCAGACTTGCATAAACGTAACAAATCCATCACTGAATCAATGAAGGAGATGCAGAAAGGATATGTTAACTATCCAGTGTGGCACATCTCACATGAGCTGCAGCACCTGTACTGGTATTCTATGTAAGGAACCAGGAGGAATGAAAATGGGTAAAGCATGACTCGTTATCTGTATCAACGAGCTCTTAGCTCTGCTGAAACCAGGCACAATTTGCATTGTGGAGCACCTCCACCTCTAAGCAAAATGAAATTTCTGTATTTCTCTGAATTCCTGCAAAGCAGGACTTTTTGCTGCCCAGTTAATGGAAATTTTGTCAGTCGTGCTTACCAGACACAATAAACAGATAATAAATAGCACAGTCTGTGGACAGCAACAGGCTCCAACAATCCATTAACCAACAAGACATGTTGCACATTCCAGCTTATTAGACTCATATCCATAATACATTCTAACAATCTCTCCCTGGCAGGCATTTTCTTAGAACAAATACACAGGTTGGACTTTCATTTTTTATCTCTCTTCAAAATTTCAGAGTGAAAAAGAGCTGGTAGCAAGCTGTTGGTGGTAATTTGATCCTGCCTTTGCACTGGAAATTTTAAAATAGATTTTTCTTCTGTTCTTCTGCTTGTGCTTGCTGCCTCATTGTTTTTCTGTGCATTGTGCAGGCTGGGGGTGAGCAGTGAGGAGACTGCCTGGGCAAACACTGTTTTGGCAGTTTTTCATACGTGGCCCTTGCTGTTTTAAATAAAGCCTTCCCTCTCCCCACCTGCTTGCTTCCCACTTTGTACAGCTGCTTGCTGAGTGATGAGCAGCGTGGGCCCCTTCCAGTTGAGCATGAAGTGCTGGTATTTAAGGCCTTTTTCTGGTGGGATGGAGTTGGCACGTCTTGGTCCTGGTTGGTGCAGTAGTGAGGGCCCCTGTGTCCTTGCTGCCAGGACTGTGGGACCCTGGAGGAACTCTAGCTCAGTGAGCGAGCCATTTCCAACAGTTCCAGCTGGAAACTGGTGCAGAAATGGTCTTGCTGGAAAAATACAACCCGCTCATGTGCAGCTGCCTGTTTCCAGTGTGATTTGCCCAGTGCTCACCCAGCTGCACCCCAGACCCCTGGACCCCTCAGAGGCTGGGTTATCCAGGCTTCAGTGATGCCCCAGGGGCCCTTCACTCAGCACCACCCTGCTGTCACGGCGGAGTTTCCAGGTGAATCCTGCTCCGTCCCTTCACCTTAAGCGAAGGTGTGGCGTGCGGAACTTCGCTCTCCCTTGCAGCTCAAACTGCGGGTGGCGAGGGCTTAAGAGACGCTCTGTTGGCTCACGGAGCAGCACCGCGCACCCCACGTCCCGCACCAGGTGGGCGCGCGGGCTGCACCGCGCGGGCACCGAGCGAGGGAGCAGCGCTCGCAGGGTGTGAGCCCGCGGGGCTGCGCACCCAGCAGCGTTAGTGCCGGCCCGGGAGCACGGGCACGGGCACGGGGACCGGGACTGTCGCTGCCCGCACAGGTGCGGCGCGGGGCAGGTGCGGCGCGCCCCGGGGGCGGGGCCGCCCCGCGGGGGCCAATCAGCGCCGGGGCGGTGCCGCGCGCGGGGCGAGTTTGGCGGGAGAAGGGGGGCAGGCACCAATCAGGCTCGGGGCGGGGCCCGGTCGGGGCGCGGTGGGCGGGGCCGGACCGGACCGAACGGCGCGCGCGGAGCCGGGACGGGCACCCCGGGAGCGCCGCGGGAGGCGCGGGCTGAGCTCCGGCTGCTCCCGCCGCTCCCACCGCTCCGGGAATGCCCGCTGGCAGCGCCTAGAGGAGCGCCCCGCTGCCCCGGGAGGATGTCGGGGAGCGGCGGAGCGTCGCTGCTGCTGCTGCTGCTGGCGGCGGTGCTCGGTGCCCCGGGGGCCGCACAGCCGACGGGGGAAGCTGCCTGCCGCCCAGTCCGCGCCGCCTTCCAGGTGCTGCAGCCCGGAGCCAAGTGGGTGCCCGAGAGCCCCGTGCCAGGTAAGACCGCCCTGCCCCGTGGCGTCCGGCCGCCCGGCATCCCCCCGCCGGGGCTTGGCGGTGCCAGGGGCCGCTCGGGTGCGGGACGAAGCGGCTGCAGCCGCCCCGAGCCGGGACCGCGGGAGAGGGTCTCTGCGCGGCTGCGGGACGCTGGGGAGCCGGGTGCGGGCTGCCTGCTATCCCGCCACCCGCTGGGAGTTGCTCGGTAGCGGTGGCCGCCGGGCTCCGCGCCTCGGACGCGGGGATAACACGGAGACTCGGGTTACGTGTGGAATGGGAACCCGCTGAACGAGCGGGTCTTTATTGCGCTCGGTTTGCTCAGGGGAGTCTTTCACCGAGGCAGGCTCGGGCTGTCGGGCAGAGCTGCAGCGCTGCCGGCGGAACCAGCGGCCCCTTGCTCCCGTCCTCGCTGCTGTCGGGGGTCCGGTGCGAGGTCTCCGGGAGACCGCGGTGTCCCCGCCGGTGAGCGGAGGCTCCACGCATCCGTCATGTCTCCGCGGGTCCCGGGTCCGCCAGAGCTGCTTTCCACAGTGTTTCGCGGTGTGCCAGGGTCCGAGGACAGTCCCGCTCTGTAAAGCCATTCCAAGAGCATCCAAACCCTCATCCCCCCGTCTGAGCCCGGGGGCTGCTGCAGCTCCAGAGGATGGGGCTGGAAGGAGGCAGCGCGGCGTTCCCCGAGCTGTGCGGGTGCTGTGTGGGGTGCGAGGGCGCAGCGAGAGGCTGTGATGGATCTGGGCGAGGTGTTACTCTGCTCTGCAGTTCCCATTACAGGTGGCTGGCTGCCTGGGTGGTACCGCACCGAACCTCCCCACCAACGCCCTGCAAGGCTGCTTTTGGTGTATTTGCCTCATACTTTTTTTTAAAATGCAAGTGAAACACTTGAATTGCCTGCCTTTTAAAGGTTTCTGTTGCAGCTTTTTGGGAGCTAGGGAGCGTCGGCTGCTCCAGGTGGGTGGCTGTGTGCTGGGAGTGTGTGTACACAAACCGATCAGTTTTGATGGCTGCGTTATGGAGCTGCCTGGAGAGCTCGGGTGCTCCTGCGTTGGGTTCGATACACAGCGGAGAACGCCTGCCCTGAAAACCTTATGATCAAAGTATGAGAAGAAAAAGATAACAGGCAAACGTGACAGGCAGGGGAGGTGCAATGAGATCATCGCCAGCAGTAACTGCTTTTAATAACGATGTGTTGAGTTACGTTTTTTGCATTTGTTGTCGCACAGATCAGAAACACAAGAGTTGCTTCAGCAGTGAACTGCTGCAGCGCAGGAGAGGAAAGGGGGGGAAGCGGGATGCTCAGGGCTGGGACTGCAAGGTCTTGTGGCTGCTGGTGCAAATCCCAAGTCCTTTGGTCTGTAGGACTGTAGCAGTGCCTCAGCTTACCAACAGCTGTGAGAGCTAGAAGGAGAGTTTAGGTGTAAGTCCTGGTGAGAGTGTACCTTCCTTATCCCTTCCTTTCCTTATGTGCCCTTCCCATATAATTTTTCACACTTACTGCATGCACCCTTCAGACCAGCTGCAGGAGCAGCTTATCTTCCCTCTCCATCCTGCAGGACCTTGGTCTCCTGGTCAGTAAGGAAATGGCACTGGAAACACTTTTCTGTTAAATGTTTGCATGGAGAGTTGCAGGGGGCGGAAAGAGCTGCTGTTATCACCATTGAAATTACAAATTCTGTTGTTTGTTTGTAATCACAGAAGCAAGGGAAGACACTTCTTTTAAAGTCAGTGAAATCCTTCCTTTAATTCCTAGGTAACTTTGTTGGAGTATGTTTTTACACACTCCAGGGAGGTGGGCAGGTCCCTGTAGGATGACTCCCATCGGAGGCTGTGCTGTGAGCATTGAGGGGCTGCTGAGGCTGCTGTGCTGCAATGTGTTTGGTCCTGCCCCAGAAACTGGTAGCATCCTCGATCCTGGCCTGGCTGTGATTGCAGTGGGTGTTTTTGCTCTGGTATCTTCCCTTGCCGGCAGGGTTCAGGTTGCTGGAGTTCCTCAGTTGTGCTCTTTCTCCCCTGGGAGCCCCAGCTGCATCTGTGATAATCAGGAGGAGTGAGGAGCCCTTTGCCACTCTACAGAGCCTGTGGGCAGTTGGATCAATATCTCATAGCAGGGCTGGTGTTTCAAGTGAATGCTTCCAGCTTGTTATGATGATAAAGTTCCCACATATCAAATCGAAAGTGGATTTTACATTTGCCTAAGTACATAAACTTGATCATAATTAAAGCAACGACTGCTTGCTTATACCTTGGATCTGGCCCATCTTGCATGACTCTGTGTAGTAATTACACTTCAGAGCACTTGCCTCTCCTAGTAGCAGCTGCATAAATCTCTGTAATAGGGGAGCATCACTCAAGGACTATTTTCCAGGCATCTGTTTACTGCTTTTCTTCCTTTCATACATCTGTCAATTAAAAAAAAATTTTGGAGTTTTCAGCCACAAATCACCATGGAGTCAATTCTGAGAACCTTTGCCTATGGATCATACTTCCCTGGAGAAACTGAGGGTTAAACAATTTATGTAAAATGTGGATTTTTTTTTTTGTGTGTGACATGAACAGAAAACAATGCTTTCTGGAAGCCCTCATTTTGCATTATGAGCAGTTGTGGCTGAAGGAGTAAGTAGGGGAAACACTGCTGAGTTGCAACACGTGCAGGAGAAATGTCCCATGGCTCTGTTTTACTGGATCAGCGGTGCGTGGGCTGGGGGCACATTGGCACAGCACTCCCTGTAGGAGAGCTCTGAAGGAGCCAGAGACCACACTTCTAATTAAAAAACAACAACAAAAAGAGGTCGATTCTCATAAATATGAGGGAAGTGTCATGCTGTTTCATGAGCAGTATTGATGTTCTGGGAGTAATTCTAGCTGAGGGCGTGCATCAGGCAGTGAGAAGCTTGGTCTCCTCCGGTCCTGCAGCCTGGGGACCAGGTTTCTGAGCTCTGGAGCAGCTTTGGAATACCTGGAGGTGGGCAGTAGCATGACCTAACTACTGTCAGCTGCATCTGAGTGTTTGGAGGGGTGGGAGGATGTAATTCATGGCAACAGCTTGACTGGAGCAGCTGGATCAGAGGTCTTGTGCTGGAGAAGAGTGAAGGCAGGGTGATGGGAGAGTGCTTTTCTTAGGTTTTCCTGAAGGTGAGACTTAATGCCAGCTCCTGAGTCAACCTGTGGTTCTGCCCTGTGGTAGCTTCACATTCAGACTAAATTCTGTCTTTCATATGTTGCCCTTGTTTGGTTTTCTTCCTGCATTTGTTCTTTTCCCTGCGTAATTTCTCGTATATAAACAGTAGCTTGAAATTCCATTTCTCCTGGTCTGTTTTTCTCTCCTCTTTGCCATTTGGGTTTCTTTGTGTTGATGGTTATGCTCCAGGTAATTGTGCCGGTGCATGTAGGTAGAAGGGATGGATGTCTGCCCTGGGATGAAGGAAAGCTGAGGAATATTTATCTTGACAGAAATATCTGCTGGAGGCTCTGTTTTCCTTCTCCCATGGCAAAATGCAATTTCCAGCTTTTTGTTCATTTTCTTTGATGGAAGCAAATATGGATTCACCCTAAGAAAGTAGGAGATTAACCTTTTGCTTTTGGAGTTGAGGTGTAAAGCTTTACAACTGGCTGGCTGAGCGTGTCAAGCTTTCTTCTCTCTTTTATTTCTGGCAGCTGGTGTGTTCCAATGTACAGTTTAAAAATTAAAAATCCCAACTCTTCCCACTGGTCTCGATGAGCCTTTGCTTGTGAGCTGGTTCCTTTTATACTCCTGCTCTTTTATTCTGTTTTTCCTGAGTGGGACTAATGATGCTCCTCCCTGTGCAGCCTTTCCATTTAGCTTAGCACAGTGGTTTAAGAGCTTAGTTTACTAGATAATTGAGTTTTCTGTTCTTAATTATTTCAGGCCTGCAAGTTGCTCTCTTGATAGTTAAGAGAGCAAGAGCAGAACCCTAAAATTTAGTAACCTCCCCAGGCAGTGGTTTTATAGTGAGATCATTAATTTTATTTTTTTTTCCCAGGGGTTAACTTTAACAACATCCTGAACAGTGTTCTTCCCGGTCTCTGGAATGGCTGTAGGATGTGTGCATGTGATTGTAACAAGTATGTATGGAGACTGGGTGCCCACAAATTAACTCCCTGCTTTTGATGATTGTATTGTTAATACATCTGTACATGTGTTAGGAGGAAGCTTTTACTCTGTAAACCCTATTTTTTTGTAACTTCTTTTAAAAGATGTGGTTTTATAGAGTATTAGATTTGCATGAGAATCATCTGGCCAACATTGCAAGACCTGGGGAGGAATCGAGAGTCAGATGGCCTTGTGAAACACAAGATGGAACAGAAAATAAAGGATAATTAAGAAGTAATAAATACCCATGTAGTACCCATACTGTTCCAACTTTAATCACCTATTGAATGAGGTTGGTTTATAATTTATATCTCTTTAATTAGGTTTTAAAAGATCAGCACTTAACCTGGGTTCTAAACAGTTGCATTTCCTTTCCCCCCCAAATACTGAGCATTAAAAGCCACTGACAGATGCACAACATAATTTAAAAGAAGGTTTTTAATAAAAACTATTGAAATAGCTGGGGAAAAATCCACTATATTTAAATGTTGAATCACTGCTTTTATCTATTTAAAGCATGATGCTGACTGTAAAACAATTGGAGGAGGAAAACTGACCCAAACCAGCATCTTTCTTGTGGGTGATGTTAACAAACCGTTGAACTAAGAGGGTGGGAGGAGGCCCTCTGGCATTTCCAGACTGCAGAAGGCGAAGGTGCTGCTGCACGGGGTAGCAGAGCCCACCCCTCATGGGGAGGAGGCTGCAGGAATGTAATGTTCAGCAGGGATGGGTTCTTATTTTGGCAATGGCTGGGGTGAATTCGGGGGGAATGTTAATCTGATTTAAGCTGCCATTGGATCTGTGTGGGAAGGCTTATGTGCCCAGTGGAAAGCATGACTTGTCTGCCTGTGTCTGATGAACAGGGTTGAAGCTATCCTGGGATGCTTAAAATCAAAGGAAAATCCTTCAGCCTCGTGAAGGAGTTCACAACTGCCCATAGATGTTCTCGGGATTTTTTTCTTTGACATTTAATCCACTGAAATTATTTTCAGTTCTGCTGTACTAACCACCTATCTGCGGGGATAATTGTACATCAAAGTCAAATGTAATGCTTTAAATTCACTGCTGCCCAGTCTTCAGTGCAAATTCCCTGCGTCAGGAGGAGGAAGAGGCAGGGTGCTACTGAAATTACTGCAGCTCTAGAGTTTATTTCTGTCAGCTGGGAGTATATGCGAAATTACTGGAGCATTTACACTGCTGTTCCCCAAGATGGCATAAATGGCACAGCGCTGATGGTGCCTGGCATTCCTGCACCCATGGAAGGGGCTGCATCCAGTGCCTTCTCATCCGTGGGAGGTGGATGTCAGAGGGTCAGGCTCCTGTGCTTGGCTTCTTGTCGTCTCACTAAGCTTGCCAAGATTGGTATGTGAGCATCCAAATGCAATTTAATAAAACCGTTGCAGTAATTCGTGGGACACCTTCTTTCCGAAAATGAGTTTGTAATGATTTATAGCAAAAGGGGAAGGTTGTTTGCAAGGGCTGAGACTGGCATTACGAGGTGTAATGACTTGAAACTTTAAGAAAAAGGGGTTGTGTAGGTTGGGAGATAAAAACAGTCTTAACAGTAAGGGCCATTAGGCAGCGGAATGGGCTCTGCTATCTCACAAGCCGGAGCTATCGCTGGAGGTGTTTGTGTTAGATAAAATGCTGAGAGGGGGTGGATTGGGAGGCAGGGGTAGGATTTGATGACTCACAGGACCTTTTCCAGGCATTTTTTGGAGCCAGAAACGTGCGGCACTTTAATTCATTTCTTGCTCATGTCTGGTCCGTGGGCTTGCCATTTCCAGGCGTTCGTGTCTTTGCATCCACCACACTTCTGCAGCACCCCCGATTTGCACAGCCCTCAGCCCTTGGGGTGTAGGGTCTGGGTCTCTTGGGGGGTGCTGCACCTTGGGGAACGCAGGAAAGGCTCCTTCAAGCAATGGGATGAATAAACCCCAAACACATTTGCAGGTCAAAAATCTCCTGTTTCATCAGTGTCTGCTGGGGTCGGGGTCAGCAGGGTGGGTTGGTGGTTCCCGGGGGACTGACATTAAAACCTGTCCTTACTAAGGGGACTTGCAGATGGGACTGTTTGAGCCAGCTCACCATCTGGGAGAGTCAACAAAGAAAATAACTGGCAGATGGGAGTCAGGCCCCCATACCCTGTCCCTCTGTAGCAATGCTGTGCCAAGAAGGACCTTGTCCCTGGTACTTTGTAAGAGCCTGTCCTGCCTGCGTTGACCTGTTGCATTTACCATGGTTTCTGGTCACTGGTGTTATTTGGCTATCTCTGTAAAATGTTTTAAGCTGTCAGAGTTAATTTCTGGGCTTTTTCCTCCTCCTCTTCTGTGATTGCTCTAGTACAGCATGTGTCTTTTTACTGCACAAAAATAAAAATCCATTTAAGGGGAGAAATTTCCTTAATTGCTAAAAAGAAGGATGGGACATGAGTAGGTGACCTTGCTGCTTCCTATCCCTTGCTTTAACTTGCACAGACCTCTTAATTGCCAACTCTCAGATTTTCTACATTGGTATTTCCATTAATCACGGAATACTTTTTTTTTTTTTTTAGGTAATTTGAAATGTGTCCGAGTATAATAAATGTAGGAGGAAATAAGCTTTGTATTAAAAAGAAATTTATGACCATATTGTAGTGTTAAAGGGACCACGCTAAGCCTTTTTTGCAGCGTAAATTGACTGCGGTTTGACTTTAAAAAACCTCTTTAACTTGCTGTTATATAACTGCTTCTCTCATTAACGCAGTGTCTTGCTGTTATGAGGCTTTATGGTCTCCGTCATTTTTTCAGTGCATGAAATACCTGTCGCTGTGCTCCTCTGGAGTGGGTGAGTTCACGAACTGCTGAGACTCGAGTTTCAGATGTCAGTGGTGCTGGCTCTGTGTCAGAGGGCTTGAGGATGGGATTTTTGCTGTGCAACTGCTTTGCAGAAGGGGAAACTGAGGCAATGGGGAGCGATGGAGCCGGGATGAGGGTGTGGGCCCCTCTACCCCCTTTGCCATGTGGTTTTGTGGTTTTTTTTGTTTTTTTTTTCAGTGAAAGCAGGACCTGCACTGGTTAAATTTCCTTTCCCCATGTGCAGTGCATGTTGCAGGTGAAACATTTCATGTTTCTTTTCCAAGGCTGTGCTGGTGGAAGGGATGGAGCTGGAGGAGGGTTTCTGTTGTTGCTGCTGCTGAGGCCTGACAGCTGGTTTTCCCTTGGCACTGTGCATGACTCTTCTTGAAGAGGTACACGATTGAACTGACATTAATATTAATCCTGTTCTTCTAGATTACACTTGCAGAAGTGACTTTTGACACTTTCTAGTAATTAGGGAGAGAGTGGATGTGGTAAAAGACACTTAAGGAGGAGAGAAGAGGGGAACCTAGAAGGATGTGTAATCCTTCCAGAGCAAAGATGTAAATTACCAGACTTCCTTCTATTAAGGAAAAAAACCTCTATAGCAAACAGGAAGGCAGAGTGAGGGCTGAAAGGTGTGAGGAGCCTTCACTCTGGGCTGTTGGTCACTGGCTTGGGGACTGCTTCCTAGTCCTGGTTCTGGACAGGGCTGAGCCTAGCAGGGAGCTACTCCTGCTCTGGGCAAAATGCAGTTTGGGTGGCAGACACTGAAATATGAGGTTCTGGCTGCTCTCTGCCCCTGGACAGCTGCTTTTAAAGGAGTTGTTGCTTGCTTTTTGAGTTTCTAACAGCAGCATCAGATTAGATGTGTTTTGCATGGGGAGGGCTATTTGCTTTGATATGTGTTTGTTTCTCAAGAAAAACTTCACTGATCAGTGCTAAGAGTTACAACTGCAAGTGCCAGAGCAAGTGGTGTCCCCCTGGCTTTTGTCCCATCCTAGTGGGTGGGTGAAGGTGCTGCCCGTGCAGTAGCACATCTGCTGAAGAGGCTTTTGCCCTGTGCAGTTCTGTGCATCCCTCAGGATCTGTCTCTCTGCAACGGGACTTCCACAACTGAAGTGATGGACCTTGGGCTTTGCCTGTTGCACTGGAGGAAGGATAGGATGGGGGAATTGATGGGAGGACTCAGATATGTACAAATTAAAAGGCAGCAGTAAAAAACCAGGTAAATCATTACTGTTGTGTCCTTCATTTGTTACTGTTGTTGCCGGGGATGTAAAAGGATGGAAATTGCAGGCAAATCACACTATTATGTTTTAAACTAGTTTGAAGTCTTTGTGCAAATTACAGTCATATCCTCCTTGATGTACTATGTTTGTTGCTCTATTCATTGCAAATCTGGAGCCTCAAATCCTGTCTCCGTTTTCCACCTCCCATCTTTTCTGTCTGCCTGTGGCTCCTTATCGGCTGCCTGGGGGACAGCAGGGCAGTGCTCAGGATCGCTCTGCTCGGCACCAGCACATCAATGGGTGGAGCGTGTGGGAGCTAAAGCAAGCAGTGTGCTGGCAGGAAAACACAGCTTTTAGGGTCTATTGCTCAGCAATCTTGGGTCTGCCTTATCAGTCCTATCCTTTGGCCAAGCTGCTTGCTCAGGACAAATTCCAGAAATGTCATCAATTTGCCCAAGCAGTAATTGCAGCAAATACTGATGTATGGGATTGGTTTCCTCCCCACTCCCAGCAGTCCATGTCCTAATGCAAATTTCCTGCTCTTACTTCTCTCCAGGGACTGATCTGCAGGTATGCATCCCAAAGGGCTCCACATGCTGCTCAAGGAAGATGGAGGAGAAGTACCAGGCAACAGCCCGTCTGAACATGGAGCAGCTCCTGCAGTCTGCCAGCATGGAGCTGAAGTTCCTCGTCATCCAGAACGCTGCTGTCTTCCAAGGTGAGTGCTGGGACAGCCAGTGCTTCTCCTCCTCTTCTTCAGCACCTGGCAATTGGAAGCACAGCTGGCTGGAAGCTTTCTGTTGACTTGTTTTCATATATTTGTATATATCCTTAGTTAAGATTAACAATACACCCTGTTTGGTATGTGGTTGCTCTGCAGGGCTTGTCCTAAATATTCCTGTAGCTGTAACAGCAAATGTAAATTTAAAGACTAAACCTCTTGAAGTGCAAATTTAAAAATGAATGAAAAGCTCACTTCTCCAAGAATTAAAATCTCTGTTCAAGAACCATCTTGGATCCTGACAGTCCCAAAATACAGGTTGAATTTATATGATCTGATTGTCTGCTTGCTAAGATCTGATTCAGCTGTGTGTAGGGGTTGTTACCTATCACACAGCAAAGTTGGTTATTCCATGGGAAGGTAGGCAGAGGCTGCTTTATTCACAAACATGATTCCTGGTGCTCCAGTATTTGAGTGCTTGGTGACCTGATGCCCTGCTGTCTGTGACATCTCTCTTTCTAAGGATAATGTGATGTTTTTGTTAGGACTTTTTTTCTGTTCGTTTGCAAAGTGGATCTTTGAATATTTTTTTAGTGTGGATACACACTAGTTTGTACCACTTGAATCTGCAATCCTTCTTTTTAAGGCCTTTACACGAGCAAAACTTATTCCATCCATGGTTAATGTGCGGTGAAATGATTGCTTGTTTGTTGAGTGGTGTCCTGTTGAGGTTCTATCATTCTGTATTCATAGTGCTTTTGCCTGTATTTAAAGAGGAAATCATGGGCAATCAAGCGTTTTTTCCTTCATGATGATATTTTTGCAGAATAATTGATTTATTTCTGTTTATGTCTCACTAATAGCAGGACTCAAGGCCTGCTGAAGCCTGTGAGATCATGGCCGAGCTCTGCGCTGGGCCACAACTGCCTGATGAAGTCTAATGTGTTGTTTTTCTCAATGTAAGATCAAATAAATTGCTGAGGAGATAACAGCATATTTTTCCCCCCAGTACTTCTTAATGTAGTGACCATTAAGTTCCAATTCTAAGAACCAGAATGGAGTAAAACTAATGAGAGATTGGTTTCCTAGGCATTGGAAATGCAGACTAGCTTCAGAAATGGTGAATAACTTGGCTGGAATACAAAGTGTCTGCCTCCCATTTGACAAAAACTGCAACATTAGTTTTTATTGTGTGTTGGAATGACACCCTGTGGTACTGCAGGTTGTGCATAGCAGTGGGGTGCTCTTGCTCTGAACTTTCTGCCTCTTCTGGAGAGAGCTGAATCCCTTGCGGATCTTTGTTTGTTTGTTTTTGTTGTTTGTTTGTTTGCTTTTCTTCCTGTTTTTTATATTTCCATCACGACCCAGAGACCCGTGCAGGGATGTAGAAGCTGATGTTATTCTGAGAAGCCTTGATATTCAGAATTGCCTTTCTTGGTGGCAGGGAAGGAAAGCCTTTAATTGAGCAGTTTCTGACCACTTCTGCTTAAAAAAAGCCTGTGACTAAAAATCGTTTGCAAGCCCATTGAAGAAGAGGAATTGTAGCTGGAACCATTGAGAAACTCACTTTAATTATCTTGTATAAAGTGTTTTGGACTTGGAAGGACAATTCATTAGGCTTTGAACATTGTTTACTATTGTTATCTTTAAAATTAGTCTGAAAATCTGTAGAAGAACACTTTTTAAAATAGGTTGATCTTTTGATTGCTGCTTAAGAGTATTTTGATGGCTGCAGTGCCAGAGGCTGTTCCAGCTATAGAAATTGTGCTTTCACCCAACACACGGTGGTCTGATTTGTTCTTGGCACTGTAGGGGACAGACTTCTATCTCAAGGCATCTCTAAAGGAGCTGGTGCTGAAGAGTAGTGTCCCCAAATCAAACTCCACATGCTGTTTGCATCCTCCCACGTTTCCAAGGCATGTGCTGGAACAGCTGCCTGGAGGTCGGGAATGCTGGAGTGGTCAGGGAAGAGGAGCTTGTGGTCCCTGAGCACCTCCTGCAGGTCCTGCCCAAAGCTGGGGACAGGTACCCTGTTTCTTTGGGAACTGGGACTGCAGGAGTGGGATATCTCCAAGCAATGCCAGCTCTGAGGTGTACTCTGGCAGGGCAGAGAGCTCTCTGTGTGTCTTGCATTGGGTCAGACCCTGGTACCCAGCACAGAGGATGGATAATTGCACCACTCTAGAGAGCGGGGAAGTGTGTTGGTATGGAAACACAGCCGAACCACTCATATAAAAAACCACAAATGTAAAATCCTTCAGAGTTAATTTTGACATTTTTAGCCTGGCATCTAAAGGGACTGCTAGTCTGACAAACAGAATCTCACCCAGATGTTATTATTTTGCACCAAATTTAATTTCTTCCTGCTGAAGCTAGAGCAGCATCTCTGCTGATAAAGATCAAGGGAAATTGTCTGGCATTTACAGGAAATCTCATCCAGGCCTATCTGTTACAATGTTCACTTAGCAAAGTTTATTAGATTATTAGTTTTAGACCCTTGGGCTTTTTTTTTATTGCAGTTAGGAAGGAAAAATCCCAACCAAAAAAATCCTTCCTTCACTAAATTTAAATGGTACAATTAGCTCCCGGTCTTATCTTGCAGGCACTTTTTAAAATTATGAAGATGATTTAAGTAGTGATTTAATTTTTTGGAAACTTGCTGCGTTTGACAGTGCTAAAATGGATTGTGGCTGCCTCAACTGCAGTTAAATCCTACTCTAGGATTATTTTGCAGGCAGTTTTTTCACTTTCCTGTGGTGTCTCCATGCTGGTGGATCCATCTGCCCATGTGTGCACCTCCCTGTTTGTGTTCTCAGCCACCAGCAACTCCATACCATGAAGCCAGGAGGGACCCATCACTTCAGAACTGCTCATGTGTCTTTTGTCAAGTGACATTTAGTGTTGCCGTGGGGCTCTCATCCGAACTAACCACTGAGTTAGTGCAACTCAGCTGATGTAGAGAATGGTGAGAGCCCTGCCTAGGGTTTGCTTTCTTCCCTCTCTTTTTTCTGACCTTAGATTTTTTTTTTTTTTTGGGGGAATTTCTTACACTGCCCCCACCTAATCTTTTCTTATTAAAACAGCTACAACAGAAAAAGCCCTCAGTGAATCCTACTGATTTCCTAAATATTAAATCTGAATAGCTCAACTTTGTGAAAGGCAAACTTGAGCAGGAAAATACCAGTGTGGTTCCTCCTTCTCTCTCCTTCTCTTGACTAAAGAAGTCTGTTCCCTGGGGTTAGGGTTTGTGCCTGTTTGTCAGTCTGATTCCTTCTGCTTCCCAAGTTTGGGAATTAGCTTTTCAGTGGTCACCTAATTTCTTGTCCTGCATATTGACCACATTGCTCTGTGAATAACAGAAAGTTAAAGTGGCCTGGATGCAGCTTTTGTGGTATGCTCCTCACAGTTCTCTGTCCAAGGGAAAAGGTACTTTAAAAAGGGGAAAGACTGCAACACAAACAAGCACAGAAGTACCTCCAAGGGAAGAGGAGCATCTGCACACATTGCTTTGGGTCCGACTTGTTGGTAATCTTCCCGCTCTGCCAAGTGAGAAGCTCAGGAACAGGAGAGCTGACTGCTGGGGCTGTGTCTGCAGGAGCAGCACAGTGAGCTCTTGGGGAGAGTCACTTTCAGTATTTTAAGTAATTGCTCAAATAAGTAATCAGCAGGATCTCTGTTGCCTTTCTGCTGCCTCTTCTGTTGATGCCAGTCCAGTCCTGGAGGTGCCTTTCTGAGTGGTGCAAACACCAGGCTGTTGGAGCGTGTCAGTGGCTGCTCTGTGATCTCCTGGCAGTGGTATAAATCAAGCTGCCCCAATGCTTGTGTGGGCACGGGGCTTGCTTCTACCTGCTTCCCACATAGCTCCCATGGGGCTGCAGAGCTGCTGGGACTTTGGGAATGTGGGGGATGGTGGGAAGGTGGGAGCGCAGTTACCCAAACTGGAAAATTGACTGGGATGCTGCAGTTGAGTCCCCCTTGGTGAAGGCCTCTGGACTTAAGTGAAGACCTGGTCTGGTTCCCCTCAACGGCAATGGCATTTCACCTTCTGCAGATGGCAGCTAGAAGATAAAAAAAGCTGTGTTGGGAGAAACTTGCAGGGGCTGCAGAGATTTGAGGTATGTTTGGGATGTGTTCCAGAGTAGTTTCTAGGAAGACCATGATAAATCAAGACCAACAAACCTGCCATATGTACCATAGGTATGGTATTCTCTTATTTGTGGGAGAATCCTGTTCCTTGTTCCTTCTGGAGCTGAGCCCTGGGTGGTTCTGGCAGGGCAGGTGGTGTGGGGAGGATATCAGTTCATCTCCCCTTGTGTGCTGTGGTCGGATAAAGGCAGAGCTGTAACTCTCAGTCCTACCAGGCAGCTCTGGAGGCTGTAAATCCTCCATTAGGCATAAATGCAGCCATTTTGGTTATTTATAGTTATTTACACTATCCATTTATATCTGTCAGGATTGAAGGCAGTTTTGACATTGCAAGCTTCTATCAGGTTATCTTTAATCAGTTTAGAGGCACCTAAGCCACAAATATATCAAATAGCCAATCCTAATGTTTGAGTCCTCTAAAGTATGACTGAATTATTTATTTTGTTATGATGAAAATGTCTGGGCTTTATTGGGTTTTCTTTGAAGAACTTGATTCTGCTTGAAGTCTGGAAGATAAAAGATTAGCGATTGTCTCTCCAAGTTTCTTATTCCAAATCCTTCAAGACTTTTCATTTTTCACAAGTGGCTGTTGCTACTTTAGAGTCAAGGTGAGGCAGCTGAGATTTCTTTTATTCTATTAAAGAGGTTTAAGCATACAAAGGATTTTATCCTTACTAATTATGCCTTGCACGGGTAAATCCAAGATGCACGTGGCAGTGAGGTGAGAAGAGATGGGCTGTGTGTTGGGAGCTGTTGCACATTAATCACCGAGAAGGGTCCGTTGATATCAGTGCTGCTGAGCTCAGCTCTTATCTTTTGGGACAGCGTCTTTAAGCCAATTAAGTTTAATT